GGTCCTGTAGCAGCTCTGCTCTACCCTTTCTGCCATGCGGATGCACCTGCAGGGGGCACCCACTGCAGTTCACAGCCTTGTCCACTCAGGGGGCTTTGTCACTCCCTGTCCACCACCCTGAGACCTGGGGTCTGGGTCCTTGTCAAACTCTTCAGGTCACAGCAGAAACTGACCACCCATACAGTGGCCCAGGTCCAAGCCACGTAGGTGCCTCTCATCTCCTGCCTGGCTCTGCTGCAGGCTACCTCCACACAGCAGAACTGTGAGCACCTGTGTCCGCTGGGGTCACTATTCTCCCCAGACTCTCCCAACATGGTCTGCCCTGTCACTGTGAGTGGACTCCCAAGCCCTACTGGTCTATAGCTCTTCCTCACCCTAACTCACCTTTCCATCCCTCACCTTGGGCAGCAGCTGTGCAGTTCTGCTTAACTCTAATGGCTCCAGGCCTTCCTGTATGCTGCCTCTCTGCCCTGAACACCCTTCCCCGACATACAGCCACTTGTTTCACTCCCTCACCTCCTCCTCCTCCAACAGGCCCTCCAGATCTCCAGATACAGGATGGCATTCCCTCCCTATCCTTCTCTACTGCCTGGAAGTACACACGTTTTCTCCAAGACACACACAGACACACACAAGCGTGCACGCGTCTCCAGTTGGACAGGGCTCCCAACCAGCCTGGAAGCTCCCCGAAGGCAGGTCTTGGCTGAGCTGGCTGCTGTATCTCAGAAGAAGGCCACCAGGTGTTTGGAGGAACACATAACCCTCGCCTCGTCCCCCCCAGGGCTGCCCAAGGCAATGCAGCAATTCTCCCAACACCTGCTCCGTTCTGTTCTTACTTCCTCCCCCAGTCCCTGCTCACTCCATGCCCTCCACCAGAAGCCCTCTCTCGCCTTCTGGTTTTGAAGGTCCAGCTCAGGCCAAACCTCCTCTGGGAAGTCTCCTGTGCCAGGTCACAGGCAGATCCCTTAACATCCACAGCTCTTAGAGTTTGCATCTAGAGCCCACACTCTGAATGCCCCAGCTGCCAGGCTATACAAGTGTAGCCTGAGGGATGGCGGATGGGAGCAAGGGAAGCAGCAGGGGCAGGGCCTTACCCTGGGAAAGGCGGCTGGGGACAGGATTAACAGCAGCCACCCAAACCCAGCTGGTCCAGGAAATGTGGAGTTAAAGAATGTCAGATTCGGCCCCCACCCATCCCTCATCTCCCTTCTAGGCTGGGGTGGGTTCCTCCCTTGACTGGCACCTCCTGAACAGCCCAGAGCCAGGGAGAAGCAGTGAAGTGCATGCGTGTGCATGTGCGTGTGTATGTGTTGGGGTGTGACAGAAGAAAGGGACAGCCTTTCTGCCTGTCCTCCCCCCTCCCACCCTCCTTCTGCTGGCTGACAAGACATTTAATTACAGACATTCAGTACCACTCAGAATCCCAAATGTCCTGATAGCCTCAACCCCTCCCCGTCCCCACCTACCAGCTAGTTTCCATGGGAGAAAAAAAAAAAATCACAGCAAAAAGTCAGGGAGCGGAAGCAGTGAAACACCCAATCCCATTGGGCTCTCAGCCACAGCAGTGTGCAGGCCAGGCCTTCTGCTGCCAGGTAGAGAGCTGGCTGGCCGGGCAGCTGCCAAGACCAAGGCCAGGATTCTGGTGCTGGGGCCTGGCTCTGTGCAGCCTGTACCGTGTGACTCCGATCTAGTACTCGGCGTCTCTGAATTCTTCCTGAGCTGGCAGGGTTGGGGCACAACAATCCCCAACAATCCCCACAGCGGAGTCCAGACTGAGGATGTGCAGTAGCAAATACCCTCACCTGTCCCCTACTTTGTGTCCCCCAGTCAGGTGGCTGGCCAATCCCATTAAGGAGCAGAGGTGCTGCACCCGACCCTCACTGGGCTCTGTCCCCTCTGAGATTAGCATGCTGTGTTCAGGGTCTGCAAGTACCAGCAAGGAGACCCACAGCTTTCGCATTCTAGTGGCACCTGGCATACAGTAAGCACTTTATACACATCCTTGTCATGCTCTTGTGATGTTCCACAATGTCTGAGACACAAGTCCCCTCCTGTTTCTGAGCCACAGGTGTCGCATGTGTCATGTAGGTAGCAGGACTCCCGACAGCAGGAGGCTGGCCCACAAGATGGTACTCCAGGCTGGGGAGGGGAAGCCCTGGTGGCAGGAGTTGCTGGTGGAGCAGGTGTCTGTAGACCTCAGAGGAAGCAGTGAAAGGTGGGAGGAGAAGGACTGGGGGCCGAGAGACAGCTCTGCCTCCTCACCTCCCAGCTCCCTGGCAAGGATTTGAGCACAAGAACCAAGACCCCCGGAGCTGCCCTGTACACTCTCTGTGGTCCCCGGCAGCAGAGCCAGAGCTGTGGCGTAATAGGTTAAGCTGCTACCTGCAGTGCTGGCATTCCATATGGGCGCCAGTTCCAGGTTTGGCTGCTCTACTTCTAACCCAGCTTCTTACTAATGCACTTGGGAAAGCAGTAGAGGTTGGCCCAAGTGCTCGAGCCTGTCACCTATGTGGGAGATCCAGATGAAGCTCCCGGCTCCTGGCTTTGGCCTGGTCTGGCCCCAGCTGTTACAGACATTTGGGGAATACATCAGGGGATGGAAGCTCTGTATCTCTCCCTTGTCTCTTTCTTTCTGTGTCTCTCTGTAACTCTGCCTTTCAAATAAGTAAAATAAATCTAAAAAATAAATCAATAAACGCAAAACCAGGCAGCCTTGTCTCCCACTACACAGCTGGAAACGACTGGAGTTTAGAGCCCTCTGTCCCTCCAAAGTGGACACAGCTCCATGTGGGAGGTGAACATGGGCTCTGGGCTGGCAAAAGCTCTGGTGTGACTCCTTACAGCCTACAGCCCGTTTAGGCATCCCCAGGGCAGTCCAGGCCTCTCCTGACAGCCCCAACAGGGTTCACTGGTTCCTGCCTCACAAGGGACATGTGACAACCCCTGGCTTCCTTTCTTGCCCTGTAGCCCCTGGCCCACTAACCCCCAGTTCCACCCACGGCCCAGGCAGCACCACTGGAGCCTCCACCCAACATGAGAGCACACTGTCTCTTCGAGCAGGCCAGCAGGAGTGGGTGGACAGCTGCTTCCCATCACGCTGGAGCTAGAAGGCAGGCGATAGCAGGAAGGACACGGGCAAGCAGACGGGAGGACTTCCGTGCTCAAGGAGACGGGGTGGGAAAAGCCAGGACCCAGACCTGGAAGCTCCTCTGATTTGCCTGTAGTCCCAGCTCTGTGCTCAAAACCCGGCAGGGGAGGCAGGGAGCAGGGTGGCCGGCAGCCTTCTCCTTCTCTCCTGGCCTCACCACCCCCCACCCTACAAGAAGCTGCCAACCAAGGACCCCCATCCCACGCGCCTTACAGAAGAAAAAAGTGAAGCCCAGGTCAGGGACATGACAGATCTTGGGGCTGCGGACGTGACTCCTAACCTGTTTTTCTAACTACAAACTCAACAGCTCTCTCTCCTGAGGCCAGGAATGGGTGATACCATGTTGGGCCTGGAGAAGTGGGAGCCACTGCAGTGGGAGGAGCACTGGAGGCAGCCTCCGCCTAGGGCTGGGAGGAGCCCAGCTGTGTGGATCCGCTCCACCCCCCACCCCCACCATCGTGGTCCCCAAGGGCAGGTGAGGGGCTGTGAAGGGAGGCCAAGCAGGAGCCAGTTCTGCACAAAGCCTCACCTCTTTTCTGGGTCTCAGTACCTCCCTTTGCAGAGTACTCTGGCTCCCTCCTGCCTTCCCCAGTGCCCCAAGTGGAGCTTTCCAGAATCCTTTCCACAAAAAAGGACAGAAGTCCTGGCTGGAGCTGAGCCTTGCTCACCCCTTTTCTCCCTTATCTCGTGGAGCCGGAACTGGCCGTGTAGTTTAGGGGTACGAAGTTGCCTTAACAGGCTCTCAAAAGACACTTCCAAACTCCGCCTCCACCCACTCTTCTAGCTGCTGCTCCTCTGTGAGAACCCTGCCGCCACTGCCCGGCCTCCCGAGCAAGGAGGAGGCAAACAAAGAGAGGGCGTTCAGAGGCGCTGGGAGAGCGCTGGGAACAGGCAGTGACCAAGTTAGTCCGGAGGGGTAGACTTTCCAGGCTCCACACACTCAAGGAACACAGCGGACCTGAGCTTAGCCCTGAACCCAGGTTCTAGAGTCCAACCCAGATGCGGGTCACTCACCACCTAGTACCTGTCTGAACCCACAGTCCAGGGCTCTAGGGGTGAGATGAAGGCAGCGGGAGTCTTGGGCACACTTGAGCCTCTTCCTGGGCCATGGTCTGGCCACTGGCAGCTCAGCATCTCACAGTCACCAGTTAGGAGAGGCAAGCAGTGAACCCCACCAACCACTGAGGCACCCTGCCCATGGGGGGGTGTCCCCTCTCCTCCTCCACCCTCACCCGAGCAGCCCCATCTAGAAGCTCTTTAACGGCAAGAGTCTCTGGTTGAATTCAGGTCCCCAAGAGTAAACATCTCCACCCCAAAATCTGCATAGGCACCGCTGTATCCACACAGTCCACTCTTGATAGAACACACTTGGAGATTAAGTCGCAAGGAAAGGCCAATGTCACCCAGCAAAGGCCACCAGAGGGGTTAAACCACGGAGCCCTCTCTGCCACCTTATCAAATAACACCCTGTACTTCTCCAGTTCTCCCAGGCTCAGGAGCAAGACCCACAATCTGACACGCCATAGAAAAGCCACCCAAGAAAGGGCAAACTCATGCCAACTATGCAGCCCAAGCCAAAACACTCTCCAGGCTCTGGCCAACAGGGTGCGAAAGCTCAGAGAAGGGACGTACCTGTCCTGGGTACCGCTGTCCTCATTTACCCCTCTCCCCTATACAGTCATGCTCAAGTACATCACACAGGACACACAGGAGTAGACAGGAACCTGCCCCACGAACCTTCCTAATGCCACTAGATACCTGCAGATAAGCGCTCTCAAGCACGGCACCTACCCAAGGAGGACACGCAAAGGCTTCAGCTGCGGGCAGTGCCCATGGCTGGCAGAGGACTTACCACCTGCGGCTTGTTGCAGCATTTGCTGGCTGGGGTAGCCTCCTCTGGAGCCCGGGCCACCTCAGGGGGCTTGGCCTCAGTAGGGGGCGGTGCAGCCAGAGTCAGGCAGGGTGTTTCCACAGGCACAGACATGGGGGTGGCAGCGGCAGCAGGGCCAGCCCCTGAGGGGTGGGTCAGCCCATATTGCTTGGTGACGTCTTCAACCGAGGGTGCCTGCGATGTGGAGTGGGCTTGGCCGGGGAAGCCCATGGGCTCTGGCACAGCCACGGGGGGACTGACAGCAGCTGGCAGCTCTGGCACCATGATCGGTGTGAAGGTGGCAGGCACACTGGCATGGCGCACATGTTTGGAGGAGGGCTGTGGTGGACAGAGGCCACCTGTCTGGTTCTGAGCGCGCTCCTCAACTCCCAGCTCCTGGTGACTACTCCGGGCTGGACGCTTCTTGCAGCCCCGGCGGATGAGCCGCGGGGACATGACGTGGGCCAGCTTGGGGTCCAGGTGGAAGTCAGGGTGGGTGGTGGGAGACGAAGGTGGGGTCTCAGGGAGGATCCTCTCAGACTGTGCCCGGCCCCTGGCAGCACTGGACTCCTCTGGCTCTGCCCGCTGCTCTGCCAGGATGGGTTCGCTGATGGATGGAGGCAACACAGGCTCAACTTCCCGGATGGGTTCCCCTCCAGGGCCCTCAAATCCAGGCCCGGCCAGCAACCCCCGGCGGCTGGGATCACTGAGAGATTTCTTCTTAGGAGCCTTGCCGGGGGCCTTGCTGTCTGCCACACTCCCCAAGGCCCTAGGACCCTGAACAATGCTCTGGATCACCTCGCGATACCCCTTGCTCTCTTCGCTGCCCACAGACCAGTCACTGTGGCTGCTGGTCAAGCCCTCATCCACAGTCGGGGTGGCCGGGAGTCCCGTCTTGGGGCCCAGGGAGCCTAGCAGGTTGCTGTCCACGGAGAACCCCAAGGGCTCCTCGGAGGCAGTGGTTCGGTGGCGCTGTGGAATCGGGTCACTCAGGGACCTATAGGCCTCACCAGTCTCTCCATTGCTCAGCTCAGCACCCCCGGGGCCTGAAGGTGGGCCTTTGCGTCTCCGGCGAAGGGCACCTGGCGTCGGAGGGGTCTCAGATGACACCAGAGCCCAGCCACTCAGACTGTCCTCAGGTCCGGGGGTGCCACCACCACCACCACTGTGGTGGTTCATCTGGGGTGAGGAGGAAAGTGGCTGCCACACGCCGGAGGCACTCAGGCTGCAAAAGGCTGCAACAGGAGGCTCCGGATCAGTTCCAATGCCTTCATCCAGCAGGCTGGACTCAGGGCCCAAGAGTTCTTCCTGCGACCGCTGACCTTGGGTCACGTCCCCTGCCCAGGCAGAACAGTCGCTTACATCATCCTGCTGGGCTCCCATGCGCTGGATCTTCTCAAAAACTTGTCGGGCCTCCTGCACATACTGATCCTGGACCACGAGGGGCAGTGGGTCTTCCTCAGCTCCAGGGCCGGCCAGCAGGAGCTCTGAGGAGCTGGGCTTCAGGGTGCTGGGGTGGGTTGGGCGACGGACTGTGGGCTTCTCTGAGCAGGTGAAGGACTTTGCCCTCCGCAAGGTGGCTGTCAGGTCTTTGAGCGTGGGGCGGGGGCAGGGGGAGGACCTGCCCGGGGTGGGCCCAGGCCTGAGCTGTTCTGCCTGGCCTGCCACGGGTGGGGAGTCTCTGTCATCAGACAAGGGGCTGCTCCCGGGACCCCTATGAGCTTTGCGGACTCTCAGCTCGGAAAGGTCGGCGCGCAGGAAGCTTAGCAGTGTCAGAGTCTCGGAGGCGATGTCTGGATTGGACAGAGACTTGCGCTGGCGGTTCTTCTCCAGCTCCAGCGCTCCTTCCCGCAGGGCCCTGCAAGGGCCCACAGGCGCCTTGGGGCGGCTTCGAGCCTGGGGCCGCAGCAGCAGCCCATCTCCCGCTCCAAAGCTGGGTGAGCGGTACACAGCAGCCCGGCCAGACCACAAATCGTCATCCTTGAGAGTTTCAGTGCTGGAGTAGCGGCTGCTCCCGCGAGAGCCTGCGGGGCTGGCCAGGTATGCAGGGAAGCTCACCTTGGCCACACGGAAAGCTCCTCCCACGCTGTCCAACGTAGGCCTCAATCCCTCCTGGGTGCTGGGAATGCAGGGTGGTGAGCCGGTCCCCCACTCACAGGTGCTGGGAGATGTTGAGGGCTCAGGGCTCCTGGCTCCCCTGGCAGTGTCCATGCTGTCCAGAGTTAACCCTTCGCCACCCGGCCTGCAGTCCTGACCCAGTAGGGAGCTTCCAAGCCTGGGCCCCAGCCTCTGTCTCTGGAGGTGGCCTCCATCACCATCTTGGTCCTCATCGCTGCCCGAGGAGTGGCCGCCACGGAAGGCCGGACTCTGTGCCCCAGGCCGCAGCAGCCGGCCCTCCTCTTCCTCTTCGCTGGAGCTGGCAGCCCGGCTGCGGCTGACAGCATAGGAGGCGATGGAGGAGGAGGAGGAGGAGCAGGAGGCCCGGGCCCCGGCCTGCGGTTGGGAGAAGCTATGCCAAGAATGTAAACCATCCGCCGGACGCTGCACCCGCTCCTGCTGCTGCTGCTGCTGCTGCTGCTGCCGCCACCACCGCCTCTCCTCCGTCCCCGGTCCGGGCAGCGGCCGCGCTGAACGCAAGCCCGCCAAGGGGAAGCACGTCCGAGGCGGCGGCGTCGGGGGCTGCCGGGGCTCACGAACCGAGGGTTCCCAGGCGGCACCGTCGGGACTGGGCGTCCCCCGGGCCTCAGCATCCGCGCTGGGCCGCCTGGAGCCAGGGCCTCCGAACAGCTTGCGCATCTCGGTGACGCTGGGCCAGGCCCCGCGCGCGGCGCCCTCGGTCGCTTCCTCCGCGGCCCCGGGGGAGACGCACCCGTCCCGGGTCCCAGCAGCAGCAGCAGCGTCGTCGTCCAGTCGCTGCGCGTCGAAGCGCCGGGAGAGCTGGCGCACCGAAGGCGAGAGGCTGCGGAGCGGGCGCGGCTGCGCGGGGGCGGCCGGGGGCCCCGACGCCAGCTTGGACACGCGCCGGGAGGGCTGGCCCGGCATGGTCGCCGCCGGCCGGCACGAGGCACGGCGCCGCAGCCCGGGGGTGTCCGCGTCCCCCTCCCTTGGCCCGGGCCCGCCGCTCCAGCGCTCCAGCAGCTTGAAAGAGACGCTGCGATACAGCGGGGGCCGGGGCGCGCCGTCCGCCATGGTGCGCGCACCCTCCGGGGGGGGCTGGCCGGCCTGGGGAGCCAAGGCCACCCCCCCCTGCGCCCCGGCTCCTAAGGAACGCAGCGACCCGCGCAGTCCGAATGCCGGGTCCTCGCCCTGGCGCCCGGGGCGGGAGCTCGCAGACCCGAGCCGAGGGGAAGTCTGTCGCAGCTCAAGTTTGTGCGGCCGCAGGCGGCCCGGACTCCATCCCGGGTGGCCCCTCCGGTCTCAGGGCCGCCCCTAGGGCCCGGCCCCCGCCCCGGTCGCAGCGGCCCGGGACATCGCGACGGGGCCTTGGCGGGGTCCCGACGCTCCGTTCCTCCGCTCCGCGTCCGCTCAGTGACCGGCCCGGGTCTCCCCCGCGAACGGGCTCGGCTCCCGCTCCCTCCCCCCTCGGCTGCTCGCCCTTCTACGCTCCCCTTTTGTTGCAAATAAACTTTGTGGCGGAGAGAAGGGGGCGGAGGGCGGGGCCTCGCGCCCCGGAGGAGCGGGGGGTGGGCTGCGGGCGCGCGCGCCGCCGCGGGGGAACGGGGAGGAGCGGGGGGCGGGCCGAGCCGCGGGCCGAGGGCCCCTCCGAGCGCTCTCCCGGGAGCACCGGGAACCGGGCTGCCCCTCCGCCCCCCAGGGACCGGGCCAGGCACCCGCAAGCTCTGAGCGCGGTGCTCCGCGTTCGCGCCGAGGGGGGTCCGACGTGGCCGCCAGGGACCTCCAGTGCCGAGCACACCGACACCCAGGTACGCACAGGAGCACTCCGGGGGCGGGGATCGACGGGCCCTCCAGCCCCGCCCACCACCCAGACCACGCCCACTTCCATACAGCCCTGCCCCTATCCGCGGCGGCCCCGCCCACTACTACTTTCAGGTCCCGCCCCCGCTCAGCGGCGGCTCCGCCCAGTCCCCTCTGCCCAGCCCTGCCCCTCCGGTCCCGCCCCTCTCAGCGGCGACCTCCCCAACTACCTTCAGGCCCCGCCCATCGTCCCCGCCCACTCCCCTCCAGCTCACCCTGCCTCTCCGGCCCCGCCCCGCGCCGGCCCCGCCCACTTCCCTGTCGTTCCGCCCGCCCACCTCCCTGAGACTTCCCAGCACTGAGCGCGGCTGGACCAGCCGTTCTAACAGCCCTACCCTGTGGGCACGCCCACTCCGCCCAGCAGCCACGCCCCCGCCAGCCCCGCCATCTGGGCGGTTCCTCTAGACGCTCCGCCCCTCGCCCCGCCTCCTCGTTCCCTAGCACTCGGGGGTACGTGGCTCTTCCGCCCCCTACCGGCCTTCTCCCCCCAACCCACGGAACCCTGGATTCGTAAAGCGGTGAACATTCAAAAACCGAGTCAGGAAGGCTCCGCTTCATTTCCTGGTTTCCTCTTAACCTTTCCAAAAAGACAGGGCCCCTCTCACACAAAGGGAACTCGATTTCTCACTGCCACACTCACACTCTTCCTCCTAGTGAAGGAGCAAGTCTTTCCTCTTGCTTGCGCCGATCACACCTTGAGCTCACTTCTCTCCTGCCTCTACCACTAGCCAGTCCCACACTATTCTGGATAGGGAAGTCACCTCCTTCCCCACCCTCTCTTGTCTCTGTCAGATCCCATTCATGTCCCTGGACCTAGCTCAAAATGAAAGACATCTGGGGCTTCGTTGTAGGGTAGCTGGTTAAGCCTCCACCTGTGACACCAGCATCCCATATGAGTTCTGGTTCAAGTCCCAGCTGCTCCATTTCTCAGCAAGCTCATGAGAAAGCAGCTCAAGATGGCCCAAATATTTGAGCCATGTGGGAGACCCAGAAAAAACTCCTGGCTCCCAGCTTTGGCTGTGTTGGCCTTTTGGGAAGTAAACCAGCAGATCTCTCTCTCCCTCTGTGTCTCCTCCTTTCTCTGTAATTCTGCTTTTCCAATAAAAAATAAACCTTTAAAAAATTAAAATGCAAGATTTTCTTTTTAAAAATATTTTTATTTATTTTTATTGGAAAGGCATATTTACAGAGAGAAAGATCTTCCATCTGCTGATTCACTTGGCCAGAGCTAAACCCATCCAAAACCAGGAGCCAGGAGCTTCTTCCAGGTCTCCCACACTGGTGCAGGGTCCCAAGGCCTTGGGCCGTTCTCTTCTGTTTTCCCAGGCCAAAAGCAGGGAGCTGGATGGGAGATGGAGTAGCCCGGACACAAACAGGCACCCATATGGGATCCTGGTGCTTGGAAGGGGAGGATTAGCCAGTTGAGCTCTCGCGCCGGGCCCAAAATTGGAGTTTTCCTTGTGAATGAATGACAATTTATGGAAAGCCTACGATATACAGACAGTATTATTCTGTTGGTTGTACTTCATCCTTGATCTGTCCGTGGAAGTAGGACCGTTTTCTTTAGGTCATGAGGGAGAAACCGCTGGGACCAGTGTCATGGTCAGGAAATGGCTGATCTGAAGTTGTCCAACACCACCCTTCTGCAGACAGAACTCCCCACTCCCAGGTCCTGACCAAGAAGGCCCATGTCTTTGATGCCTCAGCAGCCTCTTCCTCCTGCCTCCCCCAGGACAGGGGATACCTGAGTCTGACCCCAGGCCTCTCTGGAATGACTCCTGCAACCTTCACTCAGAGCAAGGCCTCATAGTGAGGATGGCCCAGTCTCCCAGCCCCAGCCGAAGCCCCACTCAGAGGAGAGTGGGTGTGGACTGCACAGTGAGAGAGGGTACAGTTAGTCAGCCACCCTGGCCCTGCCTGCTGCTCATGTAGCCGACCCCCACTCAGGAGGGGAGCCTACTTTGAACCCTCAAGCAACCCCTGGGATGGTGGGAAAACTCTGTAGGGAGAAAGTACCTCCCTGGGTAGAGCCTGCCGCCTCAGACCCCAGTGGTCTCTCCCTCCATCCTGGACTGGTCTGCTGCCTCTGACCTGCCGTGCGGTGTGGCCTTGGGTGTCTATGGGCCACAGCTGCCACCTCTGGTTTTCCAGGGGCACTCTCTCTGGCCTTGCCTTGTGTGTGACTCACCCCCAGGGGTCACAACTTCCCCAGTCATCACAGCTTGGGACACCTGTGTTAGTTCCTTCACACCCTGCCATGGTCTGCCTTCTCATCACTTCCAGAACAGAGGTCCTAATCCCTTACCCCGATGGAGAAGAGAGGAGGCTCAGGTCTCTGGGCTGCAGGGATTCTGTACTTGACCTTGAGATAGGCTGGGGGGTGGGGTGGGGTGGGGAGCTTAGGCTCAGGGATTCCATTAGTGCGGAGGGAACATGTTCAAGGTTCTTGGCTGGACCTCTGCCCAATCGGAGTGGCTAGGCTGCTGCCAGTGCCCAAAGACTAAAGACTGCTCGCACCACAGTCTCTTTGCCCAAGCCACTGGGAGGGGCCCCCGAGCACTGGGCCACAAAGGAAAGAGAGGAACACTGCACTGAGAGTTGGAAACCAGCACCCCTGCACCCTGAGATCTGCCAGATAACCGTCTTCAGATCACCCCCTTTCCTTTGGGCCCAGGCCCCTTCCTGTAGAATAGGGAATGAAAACAGTACGCCCCTGCCACACCATCCCCCCATCTACTCCATGAGTTGTGATCACGGGAGGTCAGAGCTGGCTGTGTGGAAGGCCCTTAGGGAGACTCCAGGTGGGAAGGTTTCAATGGTCATGGTCAGTGGTGGGTATGGGAGAACTCATGGGGAGAAAGATGCCCAGTGAGGCACCCCGTGAAGTGGCAAGCTCCAAGGAGGGCTGCCACCTCCATTTCCAAAGCCTGATAACAATTACCAGGAATTATCCCTTTTCCCATAAAACAAGACCTCAAGTGCACAGTATTGCTCGTCCCCTTTTGTCCACATGCATTTGCATCAGTTATTTAATTAATGCTCACCAAAACAAGCAAGACCTTTGCAACGACCTTCGTCTCACCGGAGTTCTGCGTGTTTCATGAGAGCTGTTGTCTGCAAGCCTGGGTTCACCATTTCCTCGCTTCTTAGGTGGATTCGTTGCATGTGCACCTTCTTTCCAACTGGATCTTTTCATTTTGTTGCTGGTGAGCATTGTTCTTTCTGGCTGCCTGAGAGTCCCAGAGTGAACACTGCCCAGTGTGTAGACCCCTGGTCCTGGGGGTGGACCTTGGGTGTTAACCAGGTGTGCACTGAGCATCATGTGTGATTCCAGGTATGCGTGGCCTGTGGTCCTTGCCCCAGTCACCTCCTGGCTTCCACCCGAGGTTCATCATGTCAGAATAGAGCCCAGCTGGCCTCAGTGTTGTGGCACAGCAGCTTAAGCTGCTGCTTGGGACACCAGCATGCCATATCAGAGAGCCAGAGTTCAAGTTCTCCATGTGCTTCTCATCCGGTTTCCTGCTCAGCTAGGCGCCCAAGCAGGGAAGCCAATTGCCTGCGCCACGGCCTCCTGAGTGCACACAGGCAGGAAGCTGGAGCCAGGAGCCAGAGCTGGGAGTAGAACCTGAGCACTCCCATGTAGGACACGTTCAACTCAGATTAAACATTCATTCTGGTTTTCCCTTCTTATAAGAACAGATGGGGCCAGTGGCTCATGGTTTATAAGTCTGGAAAACTATGACAAAATTTTGTTTTTTTCTTAAATAATTGAGACCAGGAGTCAAGAACTCCAAGCAAGTCTCCTAAGTGGGTTGCAGGGGCCCTGCCGCACGCTTGGATCACCACCTACTGTTTTCTGGGGTGCACATTGGCAGGAAGCTGGCACAGTAGACAGAGCAGGGACTGAAGCCTCAGCACTCAGATACAGGGTGAAGTTGTCATGAGCTGTGGCTTACCCTGTGCACCAAGCGCCCACCCCTTTCAGAATGAAGTGGTGATGAAGGGAGCAGGCAGAGGAGAGGTGGAGCTGGGACTCCTGGCCTTGGACACCCCTGCCCCACCAGTGGACTTCCCACACCCTACAGCCCCTTGGGTTTCCCTGACATGCGCTGTTGCTGGGACAGCCTCGGTCTGGGATTGTGCCTGAGTGCCTTCCACCACCCGTGGCTGCCCGCCCTCTGGCTCAAGTCCCACCTCTTCCCAGAAGTACCCTGGCTCCTCCTCCCCTAAGTTCATGCAGCCTGGACAATTGGTCTGCCTGGCTGGCCAGTGCTCCTCCTAGCTCCTACCCATCTGCCCCAGGGCAGGACCCAGTTCTGCACCACAGAGCTTCCCCATGCCCCCACCCTGCTGTGCTCTCACTCTGCCACCTGGCTCAGATGCTCCCAACCCCCTGCAAAGTCTTTCCTGATACTCTGGGCGGGGCCAGCCCTGCGCTCACCCCCCGCCCCCCGCCCTGCACAGCCCTGGCATCATGGGCTGGGGTCTGTACCTTCATCAGGTCAGAGCTTGTGTGAGCCAGAGCTGGGACTGGTTCTTCCAGGGCCCTTGGATCACCCCAGACCTGAGTGTGGGGGCGGGTTTGCTGAATGCACTGAGAGCTTGCATTCACCCTCCAGCCCAGGCGCCCCTTCTCTGAGGTTCTCACTTCGCCTTGCGACCCCAGGCCAGCAGCACATGTCTGATCCCAAGATACATCGCACTGTAGCTTGGTAAGATTCTTAACGCTGTTTCCCTGGCCCTCTATGGCCCTTTGTAATGTGTCAAGGGCCCCTCCTGTCTGCCTCTGTGCTTACAGGGCCTGCCCTAGAGAAAGAAGATTCAATAACTAGTTACTGGTGAGCCCCAGGGGCCTGTGATAGAGCCCACTCTGTGCCCCACTGATTTGCTACAGGGCTGGGGGTTGCTGGGAGGCAGCCTAGACATGATGGGTGTCCAGGATGTCCCCTCTGTTGTGTCCTGCCTTAGTGGACGCCACGGCCATGCCTCTGCCACTCAGCTGTGAGCTTCTGGATTAGCTCCTTTGGCCGCTGGCGAAACTTCTTCTGGGTGAAGTAGAAGAGGATGGGATCTAGCACGCTATTGGCGCTGGCCAAGGGCCGTGTGGCCTTGTAAGCGGCAGCGAAGGCCTCCAGCACAGGGCAGGGCATGCTCGGTGTGGAGCGCACCGCCAGGTAGGCTGTCTTGGTGACATGGAAAGGCAAGAAGCTGATGACAAAGACAGCTGCCACCACCATGGCCATTCGGGCCGCCTTGCTTCTTCGCTCCTGGGCCACGGGCCCCGTGGGGTCATCCTGGCGGCACAGGCGGTGGGCCAGGCGACAGTAGCAGGCCAGCAGGGCGGCAAAGGGCAGTAGGAAGCCGATGACCGTGAGGGCCATGCCATAGGGCAGGTAGTGGGTGGCCAGGATGGGTGGGCTCAGGTCGTAGCAGACAGTACGGTTCCGCTGGATGCCCGTGGCAGCAAAGACGGCAGTGGGCAGGCACTGGGCCGTCACGACCAACCATACAGCGCCACACACCAGCCAGGCAGCCCGGCGGCCCCCGCGCTTGTGCCAGGGGGCCAGGGGGTGGCAAATGCCCAGGTAGCGCTGGAAACTGATGCAAGTGAGGAAGAGGATGCTGCCGTGCAGGTTGGCATAGAAGAGGAAACGCACGAGGCGGCAGGCCAGGTCGCCGAAGGGCCAATGATCACCTTGGGCGTAGTTGTAGATGAGCAGGGGCAGGGAGCAGGCGTAGAACAAGTCGGCCAGGGCCAGGTTGAGGGTGTACACGGCTGTGCGGGTCAGCGCCCTGCGGGACATGCAGATCTGGGCGATCACGCACGCGTTCAGCGGCAGGCCTGCGGCCAGCACTGCTGAGTACACCAGTGGCAGCAGCAGCCGCTTGAAGTCTTCCTGGTAGACGCAGGTGGTGGGCGGCAAGCCCAGAAGCTGCACTGTGCTGTTGTCCCACGCCATGGCTGCCTGCTGGCTTCTATGTGGGGAGAGGCTGAAGAAACAGACAAGGCACGTCAGTGACCTCCTTGGCTGCCCTGCCCAGTGGGCACTATCCCTCTCTGGGCAGTGACCCACCCAGCCACCTTGGAGCAAGCAGGGCTCTGGCTGTTTCCTCCCCAACACTCCCCACCCCAGGAGATCCCCATAGCCCCTTCTTCCTGGAGTCGCTCCATCTGATAAAGCTTGAGCCTAGGGGAAGTCCTACTCATTGTCTTTCTGTTCCGTTCCTTGTCTTTTAAGTCTTCAAGCAAACTTCCATTCAACCTACAAAACCCTGGTCCAGCATTTCCCCTGTTGGCAGAAGGTGACAGACTTGGGGGTGAACCCCAACTCTATGACGTCCTGCCCTTTCTGCCATTATCCTCCATTGGAGAGACAGGGAGCTGATGGGCCCCTCCCCAGTGGCAGTTAGAAACGCAACACCACACTAGGTAGGTCTGCCTTGGGCTGCAGAGGTGGCCCTGGTGGCTGCCTGGCCCTCAGCTCTGGGAACCTCCTGATGATAAAAAAAAAAAAAAAAAAATCCAGGTCAGGTGTCTCGCAGCATCTTAGGGAACAGAAGTCACCCACATGGGAAGTCCACGCACCGTGTACTTTGTGAGGACGGCGTGCATCTCTTCCATCCGAGCTCCACCTTCCAAGGCCATCGGCTGTCTTTGCACTGTCGTGGTCTTGTTACCTGCAAAAGCAGGCAGGGAGCTGACTTGGGAGTTCCGCCGGGTGCCGAACCCGGTCTAGCAGAGCCATGATTCCACAGCGCCCCCTGGTGTCCTGAGTGAGAACAGCGTCTGTGAAAGCAAACGAGTGAGGGGCAAGCAGCCCTGCAGGCGGGGGGAGAGGGAGGGAGGCAGCACGCGGCTCCGGGAATGTCTCATCTTCACCCAGCTTTGCAAATAGAATCAGCAGAGGAGGTTCCTGTTCTGAGTCTGGGTTGGAATGTTGTAGTCTCTATTTAAATGCTGTACAATCCAGGGCCTGTTGCATACCTCTTTCAGGCTTGAGTCCTCATCAGTAAAATGTGACATGGGCCTGGCATTCAGTAGGTGCTGAATAAACACCATACCATCGCGTAAGACAGCTTCTCTCCCCTCTCATCCATTCGGGGCGGGGGGAGTGGCAACATAAATGCTGGAAGGGGGCTGCTTCTGATGGGTTCAGTCTGACTGCTGGATGCTTCCCTCTAAGCTGTCCTCCCCACATTACTGGTGAGAGTTTACAACTCAGTCCTCAGGAACCCATACAACCGAGTCTCTGGAGTGGCAAATCTCATCTTTCCCTCTCTTCGTCTTACAGATGGGAAGAATCAAGGCTCAAAGAGGACCTAGAAAGCCATATGGCTGTACTCAAAGGGTGATACGAGGCAAAGGCTGAACGAAGCATCTGTGTGGCTCTGTGCCTCGGATTTTCCAAATGTCTAGTTGGATATTACAGCACCTGTTACATGAGGTTCTTCTGTGGGGATCAGTGCGAGTTGCCTTTCCTGTAAACATACCTGCTGATGGGCCTGGCACCATAGCCTAGTGGCTAAAGTTCTTGCCTTGCATGTGCCGGGATCCCATATGGGTGCCAGTTCATGCCCGGCTGCTCCAATTTCCTTCCAGCTCCCTGTTTGTGGCCTGAGAGAGCAGTTGAGGATGGTCCAAAGCCTTGGGACCCTGCACCCATTTGGGAGACCCAGAAGAAGCTCCTGGCGTCAGATTGGCATAGCTCAGGCCATTGTGACTACCTGGGGAGTGAATCAGTAGACAGAGATTTTTCTCTCTGTTTCTCTTTTCTCTGTAAATCTGACTTTCCAATAAAAATAAATAAATCTTTAAAAAGAAGAAAGCTGCTGAATATGGAGGAGAAAGTGGGTTGGGGGGCTATGTCCCCAGGCCTCCTTTGGGGTGCTCTGTGGCCTCCCGGCTTAGGACAGCCTCTGCATCAGGTGCTCCGGCACCCCGTGGCCTGTTCTCCCTCCTGCTCCGAGTGAGGCCGGACCCACGGTGATGCCTCCTCCGCTGTCTCAGAAGGAGGACAGGGCTGCAGGAGGGGCTCCATTAGCCCGCTGGGCATGCTCCTGGAAAAGGCCAGGCTGCTAGTCACTGCTCTCTCAACTCACGCTGCCTGTCAAGGTTCTAGAAGGCCCCGAGCTGTTCCCTTTTCTGGGAGAAAAGGGGTGGTGGTCCCCCAAGAAGGGCTCACATGGCTCCTGAGACAGGGCAGCAGCGGCTGTTGGCTCTCACATCTGTCATCTGTGCTGGTGCCCGACTTCTGAGTCAGCTCGGACCCCAGCCTCTTCCTGGGCTGCTGCTTCTCTGCCCACCCAGGCTTTCTGGCAGGGTGCTCCCTCCTGGCACCTTGTGCCTACGGGACAGAGCCCAAAGTCCACTCCTGACAACCCAGCACCGCTGGTCCCACCGTCGCCACCACAGCCAGGATGGCTGCTCCTGCCCAGACCCTAAGTGTCCACCTCGCTCTCTGCTCCCCAAGCTGGCGTCCCCCAGCTCTGTAAGCTCCCTGAGGCTGGCGCTGGTCCCAACCTGCCCCCCGCCAACCTTGCCACATGTCCACTGATGTTGACACTTACGTGTAGCAGTGTCACCGTGTCGCCGTGTCCCTGTGTGTAATGGGACAAAGGGAAGCTCAGCTTGTGGTTCTCGCTGTCAGCTAGGCTACAACGCCTCACCAGGCGCTGGCTTCCTCTGCTTCCTGGCAGGGCTGTCTCTGACTGAAATAGCCCCCAGTTCCCCGCCTCCCGGCCACCCCTGACACCGTGGCCTGGGTTGGCGGGAAGGTCGCCTTCCTGGAACCTGCCCCAGCCACAGCAGGGAGAGTGAGGGAAGCAGAGGCCACGGTCAAAGCCGTGGACTTAGCTCAGCTCTCTCTCAGTCTTCTCGTCTGTGCAATGGGTTGGTTAACAGCCAAAGCTGGGAGTATCCTTCACTTTCCCAGCCTGTCTCTCCTTCACCCTCATGAATTGCTGGCCACCAGCCTTCCACATGTTACCCACAGGGTGCACATGCAGGCATCCTTCCCCCCCAGCATGTCCCCTCTGATCCACTGTTATGTGCCATCAGCTCCTCCCTCCTTCTCACAGTTAGCAGGCACCGCCCCTTCCACACAGTAGCCCCAGTGCTCAGGAGGGATAGATGTGGGTGCCGGGAATGGAGGTGACATCCCTGGGGACCCTCTTGAGTAGAATCCGGAGTTCCCCCAAACCTCACGACCAGGAGGAGGTGAGGCAGCCTCGCAATCAAGGGAGGGTAGACCTATGGGTCAAAATTGGCTATGCAGCCAGTCCTCTTCTAGGTCCCTCAGATGACCTCCTGTAGCCACTTCCACCAGGGAGGGTTTTTGAATCAAGAATGGGAGCAGCTTGGAGGGACCTTCCTAGGGCTGGAGGTCCATCTCAGCTGCTGATGGCTGCACAGTTGTCTTCCTGCACTGAGGGCCTGTAACCATGAGATGGCACCAGTGAACATCCCAGGACTGAGCCCTGCTGGCCAAGGAGCAGGGCCCAGGGTGCACACAGCTCCTGTCTCCCTGCTGAGGCTGGGATAGGTACCCTCAAAGGCCAGAATCTCTGACCCTACTCCTGCTGACCCACTCCTCCAGCCTTTGTCCCTCTCACCCGTCTCAAGTCCATGTCATGGACCCTCACCTGTTCAGTGTGGCCACAGCAGCACCAGGCTGAACCATGTCCTTGCGAACCAGCAACCCTGGAGTACTGCCCTAACCTCATGCATCCTCTTCCCAGTGGGTACACTGGATACACTGGGTACAAACCTGCCAAACGCCCTCACCCGCACGGCAAGGCCAAGTGTCAGTTAAAACGGCATCCCGGGATGAGCCCCTCCGCAGAGGCGAATCAGGCTGGAAGAAGGGCTGATACAGGCCGCAGCTCCTGCCGGGGGAGCGGGGTCAACAGATCCCAAGGTCTTGGGATGGCATGCACATGACCCATGGCTTCCACCCCTGCCCCCAACAGCCTTCCCATGCAGAGGAGCGAGATGACAGGAGCTGGAAGCCTGAGTCACACAGGGCAGACGGCAGAGGCAGGACACGGAGAGAGGTTTTCTAATCTTGGCTAGGCAGCCTGCTGGGAAACAAGGCCTGGGAAGCCCCTGGGCCAGGGCCTTGGCACAGGGCATAGGATGAGGGGGTCATGGTCTGGCTTCCTTCCTCCGGGGAGTCACACAGGCTGGGACCCACTATCACTTTGGACCTGGTACACAGGGCTCTGGTATCTGCCTTCCAGGGTCCACCGCACCCTCTGCACCCAGTCACCACTGGAACCTGAAGACAGGTTGTCCCTGGTGCCAGCACCTGCCACCCAGAGAACAGTGGGCAAGGGTAGCATTTTCACACCTGGGGGAGGAGTTCCAGTGTACAAAAGCAGGCAAACCTGGCAGTAGGGCAGGGAGCCGGATTTCTCTTCTCCTTTCCCACTTCCCCTTCTCGCCTCCTGCTCAGCCAGAATGAAAGCCAGGACTGGAGGGGCCATTTTGAAAGCAAGGAAGGGGAAGCTGCTGTCTGGGGAGCTTGGGAGCCAAGTTTCCTTCCCCTGGCTTCTCTCCAGTTTCTTCGGGCTGAGAGGGAACTGGCATCTACCCAGCCCCTGCCACGTGCCGGGCCCCAGCTTCCTCCCCACCACACCTGCCAGACCTTGCGAGATGTACTTGCTTCGCCACATTCACCGTCTCTGTTTTACAGAGCAGGGAATGTCAGCGAGAGGGTCTTACTGATAAATATGACTGAAGAGGCTTGGGGACCACAGTGGTCCTTAGGGGAACATGAGACAGCACAAAGCTGAGGTCCAAAGGGCAGAAAAAGACCCCTGGCCATAGTATCTCCCACTCAATGTCCTAGGAAACCCCGCAGAGTCTTCTAGTAACCTGTACCCCTGGTGCTAGCATGGGAAGCTCTCTGTGCCTTGCCTAGACCCCCAGATTGTCCCATAGGCTGGTCTCCTATGGAGG